TGTATACATATCATCTGCAAATAAACATAGTTTAAGTTATTCTTTTCCAATTTTTATCCCTTTGACCTCCTTTTGTTGTTTTATTGCTGTAGGTAGAACTTTGATTACTATGTTGTATAGGTTTGGAGAGTGTGGACATCCTTGTGCTGTTCCTGATTTTAGTGGAATTGCTTTCATTTTCTTTCCATTTAATTTAATGTTGACTGCCAGCTTGCTCTACATTGCTTTTATTAGTTTAGATATGTTACCTGTATCCCTGATCTCTCCAAGACCTTTATCACGAAGGGGTGTTGAATTTTGTCAAATACTTTTTCAGCATCTAATAAGTAGATCACATGCTTTTTCTTTCAATTTATTCATATAGTGGATTTCTTTGATAGATTTTCATATTTGAACCATCTCTACTTCTCTGAGGTGAAGCCTACTTGATCATGATGGATGATTTTTTTTATGTATTCTTGAATTTGTTTTGCTAGTATTTTACTGACTATTTTTGAATCTATATTCATGATAGAAATTGGCCTGTAATTCTCTTTATTAGTTGCATCTTTGTATGGTTTGGGTATTAGGGTAGCTGTTGTCTCATTAAAAAAAAAGTTTGACAATGTCCCTTGTGTTTCTATTGTATGGACCACTTTGAGTAGTATTGAAATTACCTCTTCTTTGAAATTCTGGTAGAATTCCTCTCTGAACTCTCTGGCCTAGGACATTTTTTGGTTGACAGACTTTTTATATCTACTTTTATTTCCTTAGGGGTTAAAAGTCTATTTAAACTGTTTTCCTATTCTTGATTTACTTTTGGTACGTGGTAGGTAACTATCCAGAAAATTATCCATTTCCTGTAAATTTTCAAATTTTCTGGAGTACAGGATTTGAAGTATGACTTTATGATTCTTAGGATTTCCTCTCTGTCGGTTGTTATGAGCCTCTTTTCATTTTTGAATTTGTTTATTTGCATATTCCCTCTCTGCCTTCTCGTTATTTTGGATAAGGATTTGTCTATCTTACTATTTTTCTCAAAAAACCAACTCTGTGTCACATTGATTCTTTATATTACTTTCTTTGTTTCTATTTTATCGATTTCAGCCCTCAATTTGATTCTTTCCTGGCATTTACTCTTCCTGGGTGCATTGGATTCTTCTTGTTTTAGAGTTTTCAGATGTGTTGTTAAGTCACTTGTATGAGATTTCTTCAGGTTCTCTATGTAGGCACTTAGTGCTATGAACTTCTCTTTTAGAACTCCTTTCAAGTGTCCCAAAGATTTCTGTATGTTATACATTCATTTTCAATGAATTTGAGGAAGTCCTTAATTTCTCTCTTTATTTCTTTCTCTATCCAGGGGTGATTCAGCTGAACACTGTTTAATTTCCATGAGTTTGTAAATTTCTGTAGTTCATGTTGTTGTTAAATTCTAACTTTAAGCCATGGAGATCTGAAAAGACACATGGAATTATTCTATATTTTTGTATCTGTTAAGGTTTGCCTTGTGACCAAGCATGTGGTCAATTTAAAAAAAGGTTCCATGAGGTGTTGAGAAGAAGTTATATTCTTTTGTGTTTGGGTAAACTTTTCTGTAGATGTCTGTTAAATCCATTTGAGTCATGACATCTGTTAATTCTTTTATTTCTCTGTTAAGTTTCTGTCTGACAGACCTCTCCACTGATGAGAGAGGGATGTTGAAGTTCCCTACTATTAGTGTGTGGGGTTGGATTGCAATTTAAGCTATAATAATGTTCCTTTTTACATATGTGGATGCTCTTGTATTGAAATAAAGATGCTCAGAATTGAGACTTCATATTGAACATTTTTTCCTGTAATGAGTATAAAGTGTCCTTCTCCATCTCTTTTAGTTGACTTTAGCTTGAAATTTATTTTTGTAAGATATTAGGATAGCTTTACCTGCTTGTTTCTTTAATCCATTTGATTGGAAAATCTTTTCCCGACTCTTTCCTCTGCGGCAATGTTTGTGTTAAGGTTCAGGTGTTTTTCTTGTATGCAGCAGAAGGATGGATCTTGTTCTTATATCCATTCTGCTAATCTGTGTCAGTTTATAGGTGAGTTGAGACCATTGATATTAAGTGATATTAGTGACCAGTGATTATTTATTTCTGTTATTTTTTGGTTGTAGTGTTTGTATGTTTTCCTTCTTTGAGCTTTGCTAGTGTGAGGTGTGATGTTACTTGTTGCCTGTGTTTCCTTGGTTGCAGTTCATTTCCTTGGGGGTAGAGTTTTCCTTCTATTGTTTTCTGTAATCCTGCATTTGTGGATAGTTAATGTTCAAATTTGGTTTTGTCATGGAATATCTTGTTTTCTCCACCTACAGTGATTGAAAGCTTTGCTGATTACACTAGTCTAGACTTTTATAAATGTTTTATAGTGTCTGCACCATATCCATTCAGCAGCTTCTGGCTTTCTGAGTCCCTCACTTTGTATGTAGGGAAGAAAGAGGGCCTGCTTTTCATCCTGGCTGCCGGCTAGCTTATCCCCCAAAATAATCACACAGAAACTGTATTAAATTAAATTACTGCCTGGCCCATTATATCTAGCCTCTTCTTGGCCAACTTTCACATCCTGATGTAACCCATTTCTACTAATATGTGTAACACAATGAGGTCGTGGCTTACCAGGAAAGATTCTAACCAGCATCAGTCAGGAACTTCATGCAGTCTGCCAGACTGCCTTTTTCCTCTGAGAATTCAGATCTGCCTTCCACGTCTATCTAAGTGGTGCCCTATTAAAAGGCCAAGGCAGTGTCTTTATTCAACCAATGAAAGCAACTCAATTACAATGGACCCTCTGAACCATTTGTGGTTTTTTTTTATTGTCTTGATTTCGGTTTTCAAGTCTTGAATTGTTTCTTTCACCTGTTTTATTGCTTTTTCTTGGTTTTCTTTAAAGGTATTGTTGATTTTTCCCTTTTTGTTTGTCTTTTTGTCTACATCTTTGAGAGAATTTTCATTTCCTCTTTAAGAGCCTCAAACATTTTCTTAAACTTATTTTTCAGATTATTTACTTCTGCTTCATTTGCATAGATGTGTTGAAGCCTTGCTCTTGTAAAACCATTAGTTTTTGGTGATACCATGTTGCCTTTTGTGTTGTTCAGGATGTTCTTACCTTGTTGCCTATCCATCTTTTCCTCCAAATAACAAACAAACAAACCAGCACCAATGGTCTCAAATAAAAATCAAAACTATAGTCAATACATCAGCTTTAGTGGCATGCATAATTCACACACTGCATGATTTATCTATTCACAGTGTAAATTTCAGTGGTTTTTAATATTGTTCTACATTATCACTTACTTTTAGAGCATTTTCATCAGTCCAAAAAAGCTTCTGATCATTTACAAGCAATTGATCAGAGAGATAATTTCCGTTGATTTTATTGAGCTATACATTGTTCTCTGCTCCCCTCCCTTACTCCTCCACCTCTTTCCCCCTCTTCCATGATCACCATGCTCCCAACATAGTCAGGAGATCTTGTCTTTTCTCCTTCCTCTGTAGATTCTTATATGTCTCTCTTAGGGTGCTTTTTGGTATCTAGGTTCTCTAGGCTTGTAGACTACAGGTTGGTTTTCCTTTGCTTTCTTTCCAAAACTACTTATCATTGAGTATATATTTGCCTTTTTGGGTCTGTGTTAACTTAATCAATATGCTTTTTTCTAGACTCATCTAATGGCCTTCAAATTTCAAGATGTCATTTTTTACTGCTCTATAGTACTCCATTGTGTTAATGTACCACATTTTCTTTTTCCATTCTTCACTTGAGGGTAATCTAGGTTGCTTCCAAGATCTTGCTATTACAAATAATGCTGTTATAAACAGAGTTGAGCACATGTCCTTCTAATAGGATTGACTTTCCTTTGGGTACATACTGAACATTTGTATTGCTGGGTCTTGTGGTAGATTGTTTTCTAATTTCCTGGGAAACCACCATACTGATTTTCAAAGAGGCCGTAGAAAATTTGCCTACCAAGTAGGAGTGGAGGAACAATTCCCTTACCCCACATCCTTTCCAGCATGAGTTGTCATCAGTGCTTTTTGTCTTAGCCACTCTGACAGGTGTAAAATGGAATCTCAGATTTGTTTTGATTTGTGTTTCCCTAACGGTAAGAATGCTGAGCACTTCCTTAAGTGTATTTCAACCATTGGAGATTTGTCTGTTAAAAGTTCTCTGTTTAGGCCTTTATCTCATTTTTAGTGGATTGTTTGTTCTTATGATGTTAAATTTCTTGACTTCTTTCTGTATTTTGGAGATAATTCTGATCAGAGAAATTTTTATTCTCACTTTATGTTATTCTTCTATATAGGCTTTTGTTGTGATCCATAGCAGTCAGGGCCACTTGCAGGTTGGAGTCTCATTTCCTCCCCCTGTAAAACATGACCTGATCAAACTGTGTTGTGTAAGTGGTCTATTGGAACATATGAGACTTAACAAACTATCCCAACTCAACTTGATAAGTCTTAATGGCCTCTCTATTACATAGTGGTGACTCCTGCCCAGAATATTCTCACAATCTATTAAGGAGTGTTTAGAGGAATAACCTCATGTTGTAGGCTAGAAAGAAGGAAATGTAAGTGTGAGATTCACACCTCAGGAGAAGTGACTTTATTTGTTAGGGGTCCAGATTATAACAGGTTGCTATTGTTTTTCTGAGTTGACGTGTCAAAAATGACAAAATATCTTTCAGGGAAAGACAAAGATATTCTGTAAAGATCTGCACGGACATGGCAAAATGATAGCTTTATTTTATGTATTTTTGAATGGATCCAGTCTTGGTGAGAGGGCATTTCACGTCAATGAATTTGCTTGAAATTTTGGTGAAATGAAAGAACCTTTGGCCTTCCTGAATTACAACATTGTTTATTGATTCTTCCCAGAATGTTAACTGAAAGGACATCAATACAGGCTCTACATGTACTTTATGATCTGTCAAGGCTAAGAGATTATCAAAGTCCAGGTGATGCAGATGTGAGCCATCTATGTGAGCCCTGGCTCCACCTGTCCTTCCAGGGTATAAATAATACAGGCTGGGAACTCTTCAGCACAAGCGGGCAGAAGGGAAGCTCTGCAAAGGACAGCACACACAAGTGGAGGGAGGATACAGAGGGGAATATTGCTGACAGACAAGAGATGATGGACCTGACTTCAGCTCTCTCACTGGAAACCTGGGTGCTCCTGGCAATCAGTTTGATGCTTCTATATGTGTGAGTAACTACCAAAGTCCTGCTCCCACTTTGTCCTTGGGATTGGGGTTATATACACTCATGCATTCTGGTATTGACTAGAAGGTCAAAAGTGATATATGAAACTGGGCTAGAAGAGACGGCTCAGTGGTTAAGAGCACTGACTGCTCTTTTGGAGGATTCATGTTTGAATCCCACCATCCAAGTGTGACTTACAATCATCTGAAACTATAGTTGCAGAGTATTTTTGGTCCTTCGCAAGCACTAGAATACAATTTTATAAAGTGATAGCAGCATTTGAAATTAACTCTTGTAGAAACACTCTGAATTTACATGTTTTTATTTATTGGGGCTAGCAGCAGCACGAGACAGTGTGTGTGTGTGTGTGTGTGTGTGTGTGTGTGTGTGTGTGTGTCTGTCTGTCTGTCTGTCTGTGAGTTTGTATGTAGGGCAAGGTGAATCATGCATATAGAAGGCTAGAGTGGCCAAGTTAACACCAAAACCAGTGGCAGTTAGAAAAAGGCAGTTACACCAAAAGCATGACAGGTATACAAATATTGTGACAACTGCACCAGGAGGGTGAGAGCTGTGCCAAAAGTGTAACAGCTGGAAAAGGGAATGAAACTCAAAAACAGTGGACTTAGGAGCTGTGGCTCATAAGGACATGACTGCTCATGTGATTGGTTAATTCCCCTTCTGCTTTTTTTTTTTTGGATTCTGGGTTTTTGCTTTATAAGTTGCATGTTGTAAGGGAATAAATAAGTTTCTGTTTGACTCAACTCACCACTGAGTCAACTCTTCGGTTGGGCCTACAGAGGGACCCCATGTGTGTGCATGTGTGTATGTGAATGTGTGTGTAAGTCGGAAGACAACTTTCTTTCCTATCTTGGGAGTCTTTTTTTTTTTTTAGTAAATTTTATTAAATTATAAAAGTTTCCATTTCCGCCCCCCCTCCCAACACCCTCCCACTCCCCCCCACTCCCCCCCTCCTTCCCCTCCGTCCCCCAGGGCAGTCAGGGTTTCCTGCCCTGTGGGAAGCTCCAGCTCCCTCCCCCTCCCTCCAGGTCCAGGAAGGCGAGCGTCCAAACAGACTGGATCCCCAAAATCCAGCATATGCAGAGGAAACAGGTCCCAGTGTCATAGTCAATGGCTTTTCAGAAAGACCCCGGGCCAGCCACAGTCAGAGAATCCGGCCAAATTCCGAGAATCTGGCTAGATCACGTCCTCGTTCAGTCCCAGTCCGACTGGCCCTGGTAAATTCTCATCAGATCCGTTCCCTTGTATCAGTGGGTGATTGCATCCCTCGCAGTACTGATTTCGTCTTTCATGTTCCTCCTCCTTCCGCTCCCCCTCCGGACCTCGGGGGGCTCAATCCGTTGCTCCAATGTGGGCCTCCGACTGCATAGCCATCCTTCGCCAGACGAAGGATCTATGGTGATAAGCAAAATATACATCAGTATGGTCATGGGCCACGGCCGATTCAGGCAACCTCTCCTCTGTCCAGAGAGCAATCTGGGGGATTTCTCCTTGGACCTGGGATCCCATATATAATCAAGTCTCCTGTAAACCCTAAAATGGCTCCCTTAGTTGAAATATATTGTTCCCTGATCCCATATTCATCCTACCTCCCTCACCCCCATCCCCGGCCACCAAGCTTTCCCCGTTCCTCCCCTACTCCCTTCTCTCTAGCCCTCTCCCCCTCCATCGACCCTCCCACCCCCCCATGCACCCGAGGTTACCTGGAACTCTTGTCTATTTCCTACCTCCTGGTGGATAGCTAAATAATCTTCATCAGGTTCATCTTCTTATTTAGCTTCTCTAGGATCACGAATAATAGGCTCAAAGACCTTTAATTATGGTTAGAATCCACTTATGAGTGAATACATACCGTGTTCCTCTTTTTGGGTCTGGCTTACCTCACTCAGTAAAGCGTTTTCTATTTCCATCCATTTGCATGCAAAATTCAAGATGTCATTGTTTTTAACCGCCGAGTAAAACTCTAATGTATATATGTTCCACACCTTTTTTAACCATTCTTCTATTGAGGGGCACCTAGGTTGTTTCCATGTTCTGGCTATTACAAATAGTGCAGCTATGAACATAGTTGAACATATGCTTTTGTAGTATGTTAGGGAATCTTTAGGGTATATTCCCAAGAGTGGTATTGCTGGGTCCTGAGGGAGGTTGACTCCCAGTTTCCTGAGAAACCGCCACACTGATTTCCACAGTGGCTGCACGAGTTTGCATTCCCACCAACAATGGATGAGTGTTCCCCTCACCCTACATCCTCTCCAGCATAGGCTATCGTTGGTGTTTTTGACTTTAGCTATTCTGACAGGTGTAAGATGGTATCTCAAAGTGGTTTTGATTTGCATTTCCCTGATCGCTAAGGAGGTTGAGCATGACCTTAAGTGTCTTCTGGCCATTCGAAGTTCATCTGTTGTGAATTCTCTGTTAAGTTCAGTACCCCATTTTTTAATTGGGTTAATTAGAGTTTTAGTGCCTAGTTTCTTGAGTTCTTTGTATATTTTGGACATCAGACCTTTGTCTGATGAGGGGTTGGTGAAGATCTTCTCCCAGTCAGAAGGCAGCCTTTTTGTCCTACTGACAGTGTCCTTTGCTTTACAGAAGCTTCCCAGTTTCAGTAGATCCCATTTATTCATTGTTTCTCTTATTGTCTGTGCTGCTGGGGTCCTACTTAGGAAGAGGCCTCCTGTGCCTATATCTTGTAGACTACTTCCCACTTTCTCTTCTATCAGGTTCAAAGTGGACAGATTAATGTTGATGTCTTTAATCCATTTGGACCTGATTTTTGTGCATGGTGATAGATATGGATCTACTTTCATTTTTTTACAGGTTGACATCCAGTTATGCCAGCACCATTTGTTAAAGATGCTTTCCTTCTTCCATTGTATACCTTTAGCTCCCTTGTCGAAAATTAGGTGTTCATAAGTTTGTGGGTTAATATCTGGGTCTTCTATTTGATTCCATAGGTCGACTTCTCTGTTCTTATGCCAATACCAAGCTGTTTTCAATACTGTAGCTCTATAATAGAGCTTGAAGTCAGGGATGGTAATGCCTCCAGAAGTTCTTTTATTGTATAAGATTGTTTTGGCTATCCTGGGTTTTTTGTTTTGCCATATAAACTTGATTATTGTTCTCTCAAGGTCTGTGAAGAAGTTTGATGGGATTTTGATGGGGATTGCATTGAATCTATAGATTGCTTTTGGTAGAATTGCCATTTTTACTATGTTGATTCTCCCAATCCAAGAGCAGGGGAGGTCTTTCCATTTTCTGGTATCCTCCTCAATTTCTTTCTTCAAAGACTTAAAGTTTTTGTCAAATAGGTCTTTCACTTCCTTGGTTAGAGTAACCCCAAGATATTTTATGCTATTTGTGGCTATCATGAAAGGTGATGCTTCTCTGATTTCCCTCTCTGCTTCTTTATCCTTTGTGTATAGGAGGGCCACTGATTTTTTGGAGTTGATCTTGTATCCTGCCAC